TCGTAAAGACGGCTATTTTTCCAGTTTTTGTTTCCAGTTTTCCAATCGTTAACCTGAGGTCAAAGCTGAGGACACGTTAGCGGAAGAGCGTTGAAAGAGCTATCGAATGTGCTTTCCCCGGCGCTGTAGCTCTACCTATTGGTTCCCGAGTTATGCGCCGGGTTTTCGAAAACTGTTGAAATAGGCAAAATTTGGCCTTTGATGACCTGTGGTGACCTGACACCTGACCTAAGAAATGACAGATGTATTTTCGTCCTAATTTTGGACGTTCTTTCGTATGCCGCTAACTGCGTGTCGCTATGTGGCCCAGGAGCCGATTTAGAGGGGGTCAAACACCCCTCCCCCCCCCCGGTGCGGCGCGGTTGGCGACGAGCACCGGCCTGGCGCGGGTTAATTGGTCGGGAGTCTCTTAAATCGTAGCCAATGAGTTCTCCATTGAAACGATGAACAGTGCATGCTGATGTCTCTAGCGATTTTCTTACAATTAGCGTTTTTTCCTTAACGTGGCGCAATTCACCCCTTTTCCCTTAGATCAAAGATAAGCATTACAAATTTCATCGCACTCGTGTATATTGTTCACTTACATAAATAACTAGTTTTGCTTATCGACTATCACGTCACATTTCAAAGGACATATGTAAGTACCAAATACATGGTACTCATGTATGTTGGACTTGGTATAGTAGGTATTATTCTTACGCACCATTCAGGCGTATCTATCAGAAAAGAGTAATGAATTAGCCACCGCAGTGACCTGTGATGTCTCCTGGATAACTTCCAATGGATAGTTTCCGCACATTCAATGTCACCGCTCATCAATGCACGGAACGATTTTCATACCATTTGCTATGGGAATGATTTTATGGTCAATCTCGTAAGAGACCGGAAACACGTAGGGTCAGAGTCACATCAAGATATGTGTGTAACATTTCCTTGTGACAGGCGAGCTGCGATCTCCATTTTCCGCTTAAGTGTGTACGTACATACATGTGAATCACAGCAGCCAGTTGGGTAGGTACTGGCATAGCGGGCATCAGTCACCAAACCACTTGGCTGGGTGGTGGTGTCATTCCAAACATCTATTAACCCGCGCGGGGCTGGGGGGGGGGGGTAAATTTTACCCACCCTCGCGAATTTTTGCAATAACTCAAAAACGTCGGCGCGCAGCGCCGCGAAACTTATAGTACCTTTTCGTACATCAATTTGACACGTTCCCTGAAAATTTGAGCGAAATCCGTCGGAATTTTTTTGAGAAATTGACGTTTTAGTGACGTCATGTTCGCCATTTTCGCCTCAAAAAGGCAAAATTTCAAACGCCGCTAACATCTTCATTTTTAAAGGAATCAAGACGTAACAAAAAAGGTTATACGTAATTCTACTTTGTCTATCAAATGGCAATCTCAATGTTTTGAAAATTTTGTATTTTGGCCCAAATTTTTTTTAAAAAAACTGACATTTTGGGGAAAATAATTATAAAATCCAAAATTTTGCGTGTATCGAAAAAACCGGAATATATGTCAGAGACGTGGTGTATGTGCACCTAAATACCAATTTTTAGAAGAATCGGTTCAAAAATGTGGGAGTTATTAAAAATTTCATGACGTCACGACACACACAAATTTTGAAAAATGAATTTTTTGGAAGTTTTAGACCTCTTACGGAAACAAAAATAGCACCATTCGATTCGCCGTGAAAAACTGCATCAGATAGACACCTTTTTAGGCCTTAACAACCAAGTTCAAAATTTGACCTCACTTGACCTGACCTTGACCTGACCTCGACCTGAAATTCATCCAGATGTGGTCAATATCACCTATTGAGTGTGCCTATTGAATTCTATGAATAAAATGACCCATAAAACAGGTGTCGCACATGCCCTTTTCTATATTTTGTTTTTGGTGATCTGACCTGACCTGACCTGACCTTGACCTTGACCTCCGAATGATATTTTATGCAGCGAATATTGTCTTGGTAGCCTAAGAACACGTTTTGGGCAATCAGTCTCAGTCCATTCTTCGGCAACTACGGTGCAAGGCCGATACTGTAGAAACTTGCAATTTGTACCCTTGACCTGACCTTGACCTTGACCTCAAGGCTCAAACTTTAAATTAAGTACATGTTTTTAGTTGTTCGTTATGAGATCTTTCGATTGGCGTTTGAATTTTCCAAATCGGACCATTAGTTCGGGAGATAACAGGGGGGGAGGGGTAAAATTTACCCACCCCCAGCCCCGCGCGTTCGGCTGGAGACCCCAGCCCGCGCGGGTTAAATACTAAACCACAAGCACGAATAAAATATGTTAATCGTCAAGCCGAAGGCGAGGTGATTTACTTTTTTAGCCGTACGCCGTACTCATGACTTTTTACACAATAGGCATATTTATTACAGATGGATTGTTTTATCACGTGACGGCACCTGCAAGTTTTTAAATAAGACATAGGGGAGAGTGGGGAAAGATGCCCAAGGGTTTGCAATGTCATAAATTATTCGAAAATGACAATCAAAAAGCAAAAACTTGGAGTTTCAACGGAACCCGACATTATTTTCACCACAAAATAACACACTTTTGTGCTTGAAATATGATAACTTTTTTGCTATTAATCATTTTCCTGAAGAAGTGCAAGGGGGCATCTTACCCCAGAGGGTGGAAAAGACGCCCCTGCGGTTGGGTAAGATGCCCCTCATCATCATCATCACGTTTATTATCAAACAAAAGAATACACAAAATCAAGATAAGTAAGAACTGGTGCAAAAGCACTCGAAAGTGCTTAATTCGAGGCACCAGCTCTGTTAAAAAACATACAAGCAAATAAACAAATACACACATATACAAGAACTTAAAATGGATTCAAACAAACTAAATCGCCGGTCGCCGCCACCAAGCCGAACGCGTCGCGCATTAGAGGTCCACACTATAAGTGACAAAAATGGGCACGCAAATTGCCTGAACGAATCAGTTACATTCGAGTCTGCGGTAGCCAATTAAACGCCATCATAAGGGCAAAAAAGTGGTCGCAAGGGGCTTCAGAGGTCATCGTGGGGGCCATCATAGTCCAGCGCGGCCAAACAAGCCTCCGTGGTGACGTTCGGAGACCGTTGTGGGGCCCTTATAGGTCTTCATGGGACTTGAAGGCCCTCAAGACCAGCGTGGGAACCTCACATGCCAGCGCGGCCCGTGGGGCCAGCGCGGGAGCTCTCAAAGAGTGTCGTGAGGGGCCTCGGAGCCAATAATGGGGCCCACAGAGGCCTTCGTGAGGGCTCTCAGAGTCAGGTACCGCCCAAAAAGTAGGCATATTGCCCAAGAGACCGACATGGCGAGCACCTAACCGTATTGGACTCTCAATAGTCCCAAATCGACTTTTGTCTTTCTTCACAAGTATGTACTAAATGATTCGACGAGTTTCTTGAAGGGCAGCCCACGGATTTAGGGGGGCGTCAGGTCAGGGGGCATCTTTCCCCAAGGTACCGAATTAACATTTAATCAGTAGGTTCATTTTGTTAGCTCTAAAACTACACCCTGAAACAAACTAGTTGAGGCAAAGTACACGCATATAAATGTATCACGACAATAGCAAGGGACTTTAATTTTTTACAATTTCTTTGAGCCACGTAGCGATACGAGGAAGGTGCAGCGTTCGAAAGAGCGCCAAAAATAACGACGAAAACAATTCTGTCACTTTTTTGGTCAGGTCGAAGGTCAGGTACCCAGAGGTAATTGAAGGTAAAATTTTGCCGATTTTCAGGTCGAATGTGGACAATTTCCAAGAAGCCAACGCATAACTCGGGAACCAATATAGAGCTAGAGCGCCGCCGAAAAGCGCATTCGATAACCCGATTGACACTCTTTCTGAGTATCGTTCTCAGATTTCACCCAGCGTCAACGGTTTTGCCTGCAGGGGGCAAAAACTGCAAGAATAGTCGATTTTTTGGAAACAGTTTTTCTGCAATTTCTTTTGACTCAAGCCTTGAACGAGCTTGATTTTACCGGCATCGTGTTCCTCTTGTCAAGACGCATCGAATGAACTGCGCCGAGTTTTGTTTTTAAGATATTCGCGAAAAAAACATGGGGATGTTCAACCCCCCCCCCCCACACACAGGGGGTGTTCAACCCCCCACAGGGAATGTGTGCAAACACCCCCCCCCCAGCAGGGCGCGGGTTAAGACCACGCTTGCTCCTCATGAAAAACGATTTCAAGGTAATATTTACATGACCCCTAGCTGAGCGGTCAACAAGGGGTCATGTCTGTAGTGGTAGGCTGAATGTCCAATAATCACAGCGCGCGTTAGACGGTGTCCAAAAGATGCGCCAGGACTTTCCGGACACCTTGTAGTCGATGTTGTAGTGCGTAGCATAGGCGGCGGAACGGGGAGGGCACCGGGGTACCGTGCCCCCCTTTGATTTTGGCATCTTAATATTAGCTCTATGGGCGTTGCATGGAAAGAATGGGACCAAAAGTCGGCAGTGCCCCCCCCCCCTTAATTGAAGGTGTTTCGCCGCTACTGGTGCGTAGGCATAACAGCCGTCAAAACCGTCGTGAAAAATGTGTTACATGCATTGGCTCCTCACGGACATCGTGCCTATAGGTAACTATCTGAGAAAATGGATGAAGAACTACTGCCATGGATTGTGTTCTGGGATCCACTTAGACCATAGAACCGACTAATCCCGCATCCGTTATGTCCAGAAATCCAGAGGGACAGATTCATAATTCATTACTATCCACGCACATATACGGCTCTTCGACATAAGTTTTGTTTGCTATGGATATGATTACGTAAACGATCGTGGCCAAAGTTGACGTAGGTAAAGGATGCATTGAGCCCTGGCGGTTTTTTTTAAGCACACTTTAGTGATGTTGAGGTTACCGCACGATTAGTATGAAATAAATATCATGCAATGTATTCTGCATGACAGGTGCGTGTGTGTGAGTAACACGATATGGTGGCGGCGGAGCGGGGAAAAGCAGGCAGGGCGGGGCCAGTGTCCGCGGCGCGGGCCTGGCGCGGAGGAAGGCCGGGCAGCCGCCGAGTGGCGCGCCAGTTCGGCGCGGGTTGTGCGCGCGCGAGGTGACACGAATACCGCGGGAACCAGAAGTCGACGGAACACACGCCTCACAGGTTAGTGCCCTGGTGAATAGTATATCGGTGGTGGGAGGTTCGGCACGCAATGTTTTCAGATAGCTTTCTATGGGAGGTTAAATGCATTTTCGTAAACATTTGCCTGTTGCGAGGTTCCCATTTCAGAAAACAAGAAAACCTATGCTTAAAGTTGTCGTCAATACTGTTTTACATCGACAATAATGTTGACGTATTGGAACAACATAGCCGACCTAGATATGAACTCCATCATTGCATATTTGAATCCCGTGGATAATGCAATGATAAGTAAAGTAAGTAAGTACTGAGCTCCACCTCAAACATTCAGCCAAATACGCGTGCCCTGCGCGCTCCCGAATCAAGACTTTCGCACCACAGAACAAGGTGGACTGACCTGACCTGACCTGACCTGTTTCAGGCGGTATTAAGGCCGCAGGATGGCCGGCGCTCGTCTAACCATCAGCCTTCTAATCGGTCAGTATTTTATACGGGCAGTCTCACTCTTGAGGGGGTACGTCACCCAACACCTCTTGACTGAACAGAAGCAACCAAATCGGACCCATCAGCCTTATATATTTTGGCTTTGCATCTGTCTACGTGACAGATGCAAAGCCAAAAGATACAAGGCTGATGGGTCCGATTCGGTGGCTTCTGTTCAGTCAAGAGGCAGTGTTTTCATCAATCTCCCACCGCAAGTTTTCTGAATATAATGGACATTGGGCAACAGTAGACAGTAGATAGTAGACGGTAGTGCAATTTACTATCACCCATGACATTACCCTCACCTCATTAGCAGGGTGCCGCACTAGTCTCGAAGGCTACTTGTACTCTAAACAGCATTCAACTAACTGCCGATCTTGCCCTCATTGCTATCCATTCAATGGGAACTCCCCTAAGCTATTCTGCGTCAATCATTGCATAGATATTCACCATTCATTAGGTATACGAGTATAATGCCATTGTCCGTTGCCGTCTGTTGGAACTTGGAAACATTGTGGCGCAAAAGAGCTGTTGTCTATGCTACAAGCAATGCTCACGAAAAGGCACGCACTATTTATAAAATACATGCCGTAGCAAATCAAATCCTTATCAAGTGAATGCCTGCAGAGCAGGGTCAAGCATTTATCACCGGTATTAATAAACGTCAGAAAAGCTTTAAATGGCGTGTGAACAGCTTAAATAAAGGAAAACTGATAACGTACGCAGAACTGTGTGAGGGATAAGCCGATTCGTGTCGATGTTGTAAAATTGGTTTACCACGTGACGATGCATAGGAAATTATCTAAGTGCGTCATGTTCTACCTCTTAAGTCCACATTTTCATTTAAAATTAATTGCATCGTTCTAAAGCTAATACAGTTACAGTATGTAACTATTAGGTAACCATTTACCTTTCGGCATAAGATCTCCATAACAAATATAAGTTTTAACATTTTCTTCTTCCTATAACTTTAAAAAGCATTGTAGGCTATGCCACCATGAGCCTTCTTGAAGCATAGACACGGAGTTTTTCAATGCTAAAAAGTGTCCAATTGGTACAAGCAATGTTCGCATTCCGTCCCTGCCTTGTCCCAGCCCGCCACTGACCGGACGGCGGTGCTGATTACCGGTATATTAACTACCGGGGTGGCTTTTACCACCGACCGGCCGTCGGTAAAAACTCGCTCTATGGCCTACAGGACGGGCGAAGAGTGGGTCGCATCGCGCAGGGCCCCAGACGGCTGGTCACGTGACCTGGGGCGCCACCCGGCGAGGCGTCCAGAGGACCAAGCGGTGCCAGTCAGGGTGGCAATTGAGTCACGTGACTAGATAGCGGCGCTCATCTAAAAGAGGAGAATGGTGTAAAAATGAGGCTTGAAGAGGCTAACAAAAAAAGCCAAAAGTTTGAATATCTTTCGATTCCGAACCCAATCCAAAAGCTGTTGTTCATAGTGCAAGTATTTACAGTTTAGTCAGAATATAATGGGTAGATAGAGAGTGTTTCACTCTATTTGGTAACTTAAACTCGCCAGGGAAACCTTGCAGAATGTTGCAACTGCTTCCGTTTGGCACTCAGCGCTCGATAGTTCCTGTTGTTGCTCAAGGAAATCGATAAAAAAAGATTTTAGCACCAAATCGCAAACGTTTAGATACTGGTGCTGAGGTCATTGCCTTATTGTAAGCAATGCACAATAGACATTTTCTAGACCATCATGAAAAAAACACTAACGTGCGTCCTATGTGTTCGCGGCAATTAAGCTGGCAGGGCCTCCTCTAACATACCCACTGGGTGGGCAAATGCCCACCCAGTCACCACAATTGCCCACCCAGTGGCGTCGAGTTGCCCACCCAGAAGCAAATGCAAAAATAAAGGTTTCTTCGGTTTCTTAAGCAAACTGGATGCTGTTTGAAAGACAAAAAAAGTTTTCTGGTTGCCCGATATTCAGGGGCGTAGCCAGGATTTCCTCAAGGAGTGGGCCAAACTTACAGGGGCCCAAGGTAACCCCCTAAAAATCCAGGACATCGGATTTCATCCACTATTTCTTAGAGATGGCCCAAATGAATAGAAAATATTTATTTAAAAAGAATGCTAGAACTGAGGGTGTAAGCAGTCCATGGGCCCCTGTTAGATACACCCACAAATAGCTTCATAGAGTCGCTCAGCCGGTTCTGAGGGCGGTCTGAGTGTCTTGTAGAGGTCGGATTAGGGTCCTTTAGACCGTCAAAGGCCTCTACAGCCCATGAGAGCCTCGTAAGCCGTCTGAGGGTCATATAAGCCGTCTAAAGGCCACTCAGACCGACAAAAGGCCCCCTTGCACTTGCAGAGGGCACTGTCAGGCCGACGGAGGGCCCTCTCAGACAAACTAAGGGCCTGTTCAGGTCATTTGAGGGCCTCCTCAAACCGATAGGGGCCCCTAAGATCGATAGTGGATCCGATGTGAGATCCCTCAAACCGACATAGGGTCAGACCAACAGTCGGAAACCAACAGATCAACAGAGGACCCTTCAGGTAAACAGAGGGCTCTCTGGTCGATCGAGGGACCCATAGGCCGTCAGGGGCCCTCAACAGAACAGCAGAGGGCCTCTCCCCCCAGGTCGGAACTCGGAAGAGTGCCCCTCATGTCGATAGAGGACCTCTTCAGGAGGGGAAAAAGCCCCTCCAGTTGATAGATGCCCTCTCGGACGAACAACGGGCCCCTCAGGCCGATCGGGAGCCGCTAAGACCGACAGAAGGCCCTCTCAGTCCAAACTCCAAAAAGGGACCCTCATGCAAATAGCGGTTCCTTTAGACTAACAGGGGGCCCTTCAGGTGTTCTACAATTAAATATGCATATTATTTTCGCATTGATTTTATTTACACACCGTTGGACCCATCCCATCCACCTGGGCCCCCTGGTTTTAATAGGGCCCCAAGGCTCTAAAATTGAGGCTCCCTTGGACGAAGTATGGCTACTCATCTGTGTCAAAGGATCTGTCGCAGGGGCCTTTGCGTCGCCAAGGCCCAAGGGCCCACTGTGTTAGCCAGGGGCCCCTATGGAATAGGGGCCACTTGAATTCCAGGAGGGGCCATGGTCTCTTTGGCCCGTCCTTGGCTATGCCACTGCAGGTGACAAGCGTTCTTTCAGGCGACCAGGGGCCCCAGGCGACCAGGGGCCCCAGGCGACCAGGCCCCCCAGGCGACCAGGGGCCCCTAGGTGGCCAGGGGCTCCCAGGCGGCGAGGGGCCCCCAGGTGGCCAGGGACCATAGGCGACCAGGCCCCCTCGGCGACCAGGGGCCCCCAAGCGACCAGGAGCCCCCAGGCGACCAGGAGCCCCAGGAAACCGGGGGCCCTCGGATGACTGCAGGGGCCCATTGGGTCATCAGGGGCACCTCGGGTAACCAGGGGCACAGAAATGAAACTTCGATATCAATTTTCTTCCAAGTAAAAGACGTTTTATCGAGGTTTTTTTTTAATATCCCGGGCCATTGCCCCCGTGCCCCCCCCCCCCTTGGCTAAGCCCCTGCCGATATTGGTATCTGTGGACAAAGACAGCTAAATCTCTAAACACGGCTGAGCTGAACAAATAAAAAAGAATCATGACCGGTTCAGGTAGCCTTTAATACAATGTATTATGTTAGTTAAAACACTGACCTGATGATGACAAGCACGCAACAACCAGCAGTATGTATTCATTTTTTACGGTACCTATATGATCATTTTAACGAGTGTAATTTCAACTTTTGCTACGAAATGCATAACAAATCGTCTTTTAGTATCTTACATGATGCCTGTCATAATAATCGATTACTGAACAAAATTTGCAACACTTATCGGTGAGGTTTGTAAATTAGGAGCTCTAACTCGCTGTTGCATCTGTAAGTCCAGGTAGCACCCCTCTCACGGCATTGGGTTTTAATCGGTATTTGTAAAAAGCAATTGTCTCGTAAGTGAATAGGCATGTACGGCCCTCCAGCAAAGGAGTGGTTGGTAATGCCGGGTTCACACCGGTTTTCCGGTCCGGAAAAATTCCGTCTGCCGGGCCGGCACCAAAATGTTGAAATTGTCGCTAGATGTCAAAAAAGTCGCTAGAACCGGAAAACCGGAAAGTCGAGCCGGAAATGTCATAATCATCAACCATCAAGTACGATAAGTAGGTACCAAGCAATCTCGCGAATTATTTTGAAATCGAACATACTTGTGTGACGGTTTTACAAGTCCCTGATGCAGTTCCACCCAACCGAAAATCATCCATACTTCACTGGTAGGTATATTAGCAAGATTAATACAATTTAACATTTACAGCATGCGGGCTGGGTATCGACAAAAAGACACTAATAAATTTCAATCGCGCTTTGGCTGTTGTTGGTTTAAAAACACCTGCGAACAAAGAGGAATTGAGGGTTGGGCAGGGCGCATTAGAGACGGCGAGCTTGATATTACGCTTGCTGATGTAGATGGCTGGGTCTCAAAATCGGTCATCTGACTGTCACTGAGCTCTACTGCCATAACCCGCGCCCCGCGGGGGGTCCTAAATTTCCACGCCTTGCTGGTGGGGGTGTTTAACATCCCCCTTTTAACTCGGCTCCTGGGCCACGTAGCGATACGGGGAAGGCGGCGTTCGAAAGAGTGTCAAAATTAATGACGAAATTAATTCGGTCACTTTTTTTTGGTCAAATCAAAGGTCAGGTCACCAGAGGTAATGGAAAGCCGAATTTCACCGATTTTCAGGTCGAATGTCGACGATTTACAACAAGCCAACGCATAACTTGGCATCAATTTTCTCCCATTGACTTATAATGGGGGGGGGGGGTCACAAAATTGACCTGACCTTAGGTCACCGATATCAAAATTCCGAGATAGTTATTTATTTAAATTATGTACATATTGTTGCCCTTATCAATCGCTGAGAGTTTCAAAGAGGTCGGTCGCTCGATGTAGCATATGGAAGACGTTGAAACTTTGTATGAGGTGAGGTCACTTGATGTGACCTGATGACCTGACCTTAAGTGACCTTGGTCTACAATTTTTACATGTGCAGAAAAGATGTATGATAAGGTGTGCCAAAAACAGCCGCCGTTTTTTAGATGTTCGCGAAAAACCACAGGGAGGGTTCAAATATTCCCCCCACCCCCACCCCCAGCAGGGCGCGGGATAATATCCTTGGCATTCAGTAGGTACCATCGTATTTCCTGAATCTTCTACTTGCGATTGAATGGCAAAACTGCCTCCACCCTCCCGAGCTGCTATGTGCTTGTGTAGGAGGGCATCGAGGGCAGAGAAGTGTTGTCAGCGCGTCTTGTAGAATGTAGATTTCAGAATCTGCTCGGCTGGCTCCACTTCGTAGACGACGGAAGTTAGCAATACGTAAATTGTGCTACCTGTCCTGCGGCCGGCTCCAGCGCTTGATAATCTCTTCTGCAGATACTGGCTCCGCTCCTTCCACAACCAGCGCGTCCGCAATGTTGTTCCACAAATTCGCCCTTTTCACCGCTTCCTTATAATATTTATCTTTTTTATTATAAAGTCATGGATATTTTCCAACCAATGAAATTAATTTATAATTTGAAAAGGCCATGAGACATGTGAAATACAAAAACAGAAATGTAGCTATCACTCCGTTTGAGATGCAAATGTTTTGAAATAAAAATGAAACGCCGTCAAATTTACGCTTGAATTTTATATTCTCGTGAAAAATCGCGAGACTATTAGGGCACCGTTGGTTAAATTGGTCCTGTAGCGCTGAAACATAACATTATTTCCCTCGTGCCTTAATTTCATATCACAAACGGTGGCTATCCGGCAAGGCAAAAGTTGAGATGATTTCAACTTTTTGCCGGACCGGAAAATCTGGCTCTCCGGCCTGCCGGACCGGTCAAAAGAAGTTGCCAGATTTGCCGGTTCACACCAGTTTTCAATTTTCCGGCACGGAATTGGCCATTTTTCCGGCCCGGCAGACGGAATTTTGCCGGTCCGGAATCCGGTGTGAACCCGGCATTAGTCGTTACGTTTTAGGCATTATAACTTCGAATGACAGAGCCACTCCACCAGTAAAATGACTCAATAGGAATAAGAAGAGGGTTCATGTGGACACTTCGGCAATGGCTTTCAACAACCATTAGATGTATTTATCAACGCAGATCGATTTTTGTGAAGTTAGCAACCAGCCACTAAATACCTGGAGAGCCGTACAATGTATATGTATATCTGGAACGAATAGACGTCACGAGCATCGCTAACCATAAAACACGCGACAAACGTTAACTTTGCAAACTATCATCTTGTTTCCAATAATGGCACAGCTTACGAGTATTTCGCCTCACCCCCCCCCCCCCCCGGCCACAGGTTTTAAAATTGGTTGAACCCCAAAACAAGTGGCTGGATCCGCCCTTCATGGGCAGGGGAGCGGCGAAAAATTTTCCCCGCCCACTGAAAAATCCTTAGAGGAGGCCCTGTAAGCTGGAAATACTCCATTGCAAGCAGGTGCCAAATGGCTACGATTAATACGTGCTGGTATCAGCGATTTTGCTTTACCTGGTGCGCCAGAGTGATCATATCAATGCGAGGAAAATGACGACAAAATTCATGTGTTTCGTGGAGTGGATGTGCTCCAAATAGATTTCTTACGTCACCATCCAGAACTCGGGATAAACCATACTACATGCATAAAACGACTTACTTATTGTCAGGGTCGGAAGAGTAAAATTGGCAGTCTCTGATGAGTTTAAAGGAAGGACGCTGACAGCTGTAACTTCAGTCTCCTGTGTTTAAATTTTCGTGCATGGTAGGTGGGTACCTATGTATATGGATTGCATACGGATATCTGCCCCTGAAGCTCTTTTTTGCTGTCTTAAGTCGTAATGGTTCGATACTGTGCCGCAATGACGCGCATCCAGCCGGTACAGCCTAGCCATTCAGGCGCTAGAGATTTATATGCCGCTAAAGCCCGCCCATGCCGCCCAACATCAAACATAAACTTTTCAGGGAACAAAACCTGAGCCGCCCACAAAATTGAGCCACTGCTAGCGGCCAGGTTTGATTAAAACTACGCTCAATGATAATTTTACCAGTGTGAACACATGCTGAAAACGGCCGAAACATACCTCCCCGCCCTTCATGCGCACTTGTGTTATCCGTATTTACCTTCCCCAAAACATGTGGCAGTTCGCCTTGGATTGACACTGACAGTTCAAGTTAAAAGGTTAATGTAAGATGCCTAAACCACTGCGCGTGTGTCAGTGATTTAGCCCGTTTCTGGCCAGTCCTCCGTCGACCGGTAATAGTTCACGTCGATTCTGGACTGACCAATCGTGCCGGCGTGACCGCGCTGAGCGCCGGTGCGCGACAGACACGGCGCACCGCTGCGCAACGTTAGTCACGGCCAGCGTGCTCTGTGCAAGAGGCTTTGTTTGCTTTCATTTCACCTGGATATACGTGAGACGCTTAATGTGCACTCCGTGAAGGGCGGCCGAGGCTAATTTGGAGGAATGTGACGAGTCAGTATCAGCGTATAGTGATAATATTCGCTAACAGCACGAAGCACGACGACGTATTTCTTACGATACCTATGTGCTCCCTTTCACAGGAACTTGCATGCTAGCGAGTGCGTTTGCAACGGCGAATAAAAGAAACAATCATGAAGAAAGTCTTCAAGATCTATCGTTACGGGTAAGTTATCTAACCGTTTCATGACACCAGCCTCCGATACCTCCGAAACCACACACTCAACAGTCGTACATAACCCTTTGGGGCGAAACGCTTATCAAACGGATATCGGTTGTATAGCATCAACATTTGATTGGTAGGTACTATCAAGTACCAGTGTTGAGTATGTGTCCACTGTCTAGCCTGGAGCTGCGAATTTTGCATTGGCCGATTGTCTGTCGGTTCAAGGTCATTTCCTCATTTTCTCTGCACACCTCACACCCTGTGAACGGTTGCACTGCCTTTCATAATCTACAGTTCGTGTGCAAGCCTCTGGAAACCGAGTCATTATCGCAGATAATCTGGTAAATTCCTCAGGCGGCACATTCCTTGGAGATCTGTACACTCACGCTTACACAAACGGATGCCGGCTAATCAATGGGAAATAGAGATAATAGAGTCACTATGGTTAATGCTCTCTTTACATAAGGACGGATTGGCTTGAGTGAACAGCATGCAATTAAAAAGACGATGGTTTTTCACTTACTTGCTGCAATTATTTATCAGGTTTGGTGATTGAAAGTTCTATTTGTATCAGCTTTGTTTTCTGGGCGATATAAAAAATAGACCGGCAAAGTAAGGACCCTTCTCTCATAAACTGCGACAAAGCAGCTATCGGTAGGTACTACATATGGTTCTAGCACTGGCCATTGCCTGTGACCATTGACCTTGCACTGACCTCCACTCTCACTCTTGGCCTCTGCTACCGAATATTGTGTGGTATCACAGTAGACAACTGTTCATTGTTAGTGAGCCTGCTGATAATCCGATAACATTTTCTACCCAGTTGCCCACTGTGACGGCCTAAATCTTTGACAATAGAATCACCATCCTAACCATGCCTGACGTGCTGTGCGTTCACACTGTGCGAATTGTCCTACCCCTGAGCTGCTGCAGAGTTTTCGGCGCATGACCGGTCTCAGGGCCGCGGGGGTACTGCAGGACCGCGTATGTAGTCGTGACGGCCCCCCTCCCCCGGGCCGTGAGAGGGGGGGGGGGTCGGTACCCAGACAGCGACATGGGAACGGTGTGGGTATGGGCGCCGACAGTCGGAGTTAGCTGGGTGACGGTATATCGAGGAAATCACAGTGTACTGACCGCCAGCCGCACGTTTTGGCGGTGATACGGCCAGCGTGAGACTCACGGGCTGCGGGCGATGAGGAAGAGATAGGTGGTTCTTTGTTTACATTTAATTCATGCAGCCGTAACCGTTAGGCACTCGGTTAACTAGATTGTACGGAACATAGTATCGACAAAATGATAGGACAAGCACACGTAAAATAAGCCAACAAATAAAAACATTTCACCGAAGGTGAGAGCATCAGCAGCGTGGTATTCAATTCATGGTAAGCATGCATCATGCAGAACACAATCAATCATTTTCGGTTCCTCTCATTCGCAATCTTTTTAGCTACAAATGGATTCTTACGCCTTTTTTGTCGTTAAGCCCACAATCTTAGCTGGCAATTATAAAATGTTGAATCTCGAAAATTTATCATTTGACAAACACAAACAGATTCCATTCCAGTACCAACGAGTAGTACTCGCTTAGAAAGAGTATAGTTACAGCACAGATTACACCAAACTCCCCATTCTGCAAACACCCTTACACTTTTGCTCTCCCCCGGCCAGCCCCTGAAGCGGAACCGCCCGCGTGCACGGTCAGCCGCCGCCGGCGAGTGTCCACTTTCCTGTTGCAGATCGTGCCCCGGTCTGTGACTGGGGCTGGGCCCGCCTCTCTGGAAGGTCACGATACGCTCACCGGCAGGTGTAGGGTCGGCTCAGGGGTATATGACTCAGAGCTGGCGGGTGTATGTACTGCGCGTGAACCAAGGGATGAGAATGGAAAAGGGTAGTCTCGGGATACTGAAACTTGATCATTTACCTTCATTTAACCCGAACTGTATTGAGAGACTGTCAACAAAACGTTTTGCCCCCTTTCTCTGTCTTACACTGCCTCATGTGGATACTTAATGCGGTCGGTCCGTGATGCTAGCGTTTCATACATACCTACTGGTGAGACCGAAACCATTGGCGAAACAGTTCCTCTTCGCGTTTGCCTGCGATTCCGGGGCAAAACAGGCGTAAATGTGTGGGGAAATATGTACTTATCCTGGCAGCAGCAGCTAAAAGAGGCTCATAGAAGAACATGCTGAACGATTTGTCCTTCCCATGACTGTTCTAGTTCACACGATATTCAACGTCATTACGTTGCTGATGAAGGCTGTTTCCGTCATACGTTCTTTAAACCAAAACAACCATCGGGGAAAACACGACTCAGAGGTAAAAGAGTAGCCTCAGAACGGCTGCATTTCAGTGAACGCGCTAACCACGTCGGCATTCTTTGAGCAGTGACGCAGCGGAGCGCTGCTAACTGGCTCAGTCACCAGATGTTTAGAGATCCCGGGACTGTCAATTGCCCGTGTATCTACCGTCGTGGGAACAGAGAGCGAGGATAAAGACGCGGAGACTGGATAAAACGTACAATTAACAAGCCCCTCATAATTTGTTCCAGGAATGTCTTTCCCTTCCTTCCAAGCTTGTGAAAAAGGATGAAACTTTCAATGTTTCTTTGCCAGAAAACTAGGTCAAACGCTGAACGCTCGCATTCGGTAATCAGCCTACATAATTGTGTTTGTTCGCCATAGTAGCTCAGGTTCATTTTTGACGATTTGACTTCGCCAGCCTTAAAGGGACTATCCCACCTTTACATTAGGTTTGAGTTGAGATAGCCAAGTTTGCGGCGAGGTCCAGAAACCACTATCTATCTTGGTTGCAACCCCCGCGGCCTCGTGGTGTTGAAGAAATTCGTTCCCTTCATTTGAAAATGAGCCCTGCGCAAGGCCCAATCTCTTAACCATTAACGGTAATCTGATGACGTCATTTGCCTTTTGAACGCCTGTTCAAGTGAAGTATCACTTGATTTACGAATAAGGCAATCAGAGACACAAAATTTGTTATTGTATGAGCCGCGTCATATTTGAGAGCAAATACCTATATTTGCTGCCAAATTTCCCCCACACTGACATGAAGTAAATCTTTCATTACGTCACAGATCCGATCTAAATGACGTCACGATGAAATATAAAGGTCGCAATATCTCAAAAAGTATACGATGAAAACGCGTAAAAACTTGCAGAATTCGTCACAATATCATGAGTAACATTTCCGAATCCTAAACGGGACTTTTTTGAAGGTGGGATAGTCCCTTTAAGTCGTATTCACAGCACTAACAGTACTCACATGGTACTCTAGTCTCTGTTCCAGTTGTTTCTGCCTCTCGCTGTTTGAGCTTCTGACGAAAGGTACCTGTGGACAACAGCCATTGGTTTCTCTCAGCGTATATTATCTGGACTAATCCGAGTACATACTCTGTATATGCTGGGCTACACTGTATATGCTCAGTGTTCCCGGTTCCGTTAAAGGAAGACTGCCACCTTCAAAAAGTTTTCTCAGATCGGCCTATGATTTATTCCCTGGATAAAACAAAATTTTAGAATTCACCTGACAAAGTATCATCACGTGAATCGCGAAAAAATTATCGATTATCATACAATTATCAATCGGTTAATGTCTAGCGACAATGTTTACACATCACTAGACTTCAAGGTCATAAGATTATTACATTTTATTTGAAAAAGTAAGGTATTTTATGATTTAATAATATATGATTTCATAAGAAATTGGCCATGTTTAATTTATTTTGCATTTAACTTCGTAAAACATTTAAAAATCATGGCTCATTTGGAATGGGTCTGGCCCATGTTAAATCCCATTTCCCACACTTTTTTGGAAAAAATGAACTGCTGAATATATAAGTTTAACTTTTATTTTGACACTCCAAAATTCTTCTCTGATCTCGAAACAATCAAAGTTTTGACATATATTTGCCAAAAGATAAGAAAATTCATGTTTCAAAGTTATCGATAAACAGTAGAGATGTCGGTTTTCTTGGACTAAAAAAAATGGCATCAAACTGAACTTTGGTCTCCGATTTCTCGCAAACGGGTTCGAATTTCGGAAAACCGACTTCAGTCTGGGACATATGGCTCAGCTCTAGTGAAAACCGTTTTGTGAAAAAAAGGTGGCAGTCTACCTTTAAAAAGGAGCAATAGGAAAAAGGCCGGCATACACAGTAGAACTAAACACGATAACATTGATAATAAAAACATAACTATGCATTATGCAGTCTCTCAAGCCTTACACACTCTTAATTCCACATCTGAGGATCCACATATGGATCCCAGGATCTTAGGATGTAAATGCCTAAAGGGTGGGATTATTGCTCAGAAAACCGGAATTGTTCGAGAATCGATTTAAGTGTCACCTTCAGTTACAAGCGTAAAGGATGGCCACAACCATGGACGCAGGAGCCGTGGGGGCAATGGCGGCAAGCTGCCCCACAACTTGAAGGCTGTGGGGGCGACGCCCCCACAACTTGAAGGCGTGGGGGGCCAGTAACGCCGCCCCCACAACTTTATTGAATATTTTCGCTAAATATTTTGCTTTTGTGTAAGCTTTAAAATGTAATTTTGGTAATTTTCAAAATGAAGTGGCCCAAATGCGAAAAGAAAAAAATGTGGTAGGTTGGTTTTGGGGACCCAAGTTGCCCTCCCCTCCACGGTTGGATAAAATGGAATGAAGGTAAAAATAGGTGAGCCGACGAAATTTACCTAGCGTAAAAAAATCATTCTTGGTAGCTCTGATATGGTGGGCATTCCTCTAACTTCTCGGTCCCTGACAGTAGACATTAGAAAATCCCTGACTCTCATTTCCTCTCATTTAGATGGGTATGAACAAATAGGTGCCGATTACGTGACAAGTACGCTTGCTTCCCGTCACGGAATGGCTTGAATAGCATTTAACCCGCGCCCCACTGGGGGTCCTGGATTTCCACGCCCTGCTGGGGGGGGGTGTGTTTGAACACCCCCCCCCCCCTTCTAACTCGGCTCCTGGGCCACGCAGCGATACGCAGAGGCGGCGTTCGAAAGAGCGCTGAAAATAATGACGAAATCACTTCGGTCACTTTTTTGGTCAGGTCAAAGGTCAGGTCACCAGAGGTCATTGAAGGCAAAATTTCGCCGATTTTCAGGTCAAATGTCGACAATTTCCAAGAAGCCAGCGCATAACTCGGGAACCAATAGAGCTACAGCGCCGCGGAAAAGTGCATTCGATAACCCTATTAACAGCCTTTCTAATTAACTCTCAGATTTGACCTGGCGTCAACGGTTTTGCCTGCAAGGGGCAAAAAACTGGCAAAATAGCCGATTTTTTTAAAACAGTTTTTCTGCAATAACTTTTGACTCAAGCATAATTGTACGAGCTTACTTTTACCGGCATCGTGTTCCTCTTGTCAAGACGCATCGTATGATTGTATTTCAGTTGAGACAAGTATAATAACACGGAACAAAAATGATAGACGAACGCGTTTCGGCTAAATCACCGTCATCAGCGTCTAAAAGGAGAACAAGAGGCACACATCGAGCAAATATCACAGTTCAATCGTTTTGATTTTTACATACACTTTTTTAAACAAGCATGTGACAATGTGGTTACATTTCCTTTGACAAAGAGAAAATATCCTAAAAGAATCCTAAGAGAATAGCCACATTGTACAGTTTACACAGGTGTTGCACAATTCATATGTGGATGTTTAAAATGCCAAACAACGCCGCTGCTTTTGCCCACTTCATGAAACCAACCCTGACATTAATGGTATCACTCGTAGCAATAAACGCCGCTTCAGTAGCTTTTCTGTTGTCGCGATTACTACATGACGTGAGTACCTTTGCCCCGTCCCAGTATGGGAGATGGTTTGAGTTCTGAGCATGTAGAACAAACGCACTGTGTTGCATGTTATTTCGTAGGTCACGTCTGTGCTCTTTTAATCTCGTTCCAATACCCCTTCCCGTCTCCCCGATGTATTTCTTATTGCAAGACCCGCATGGAACCTGATATACAACGCTGTTGCCATTATCCTTTTTGTTACTTTCTCTATTTCTTGATAGCATGTCACCCACCTTTTTACCCGAAGTAAAGGACACTTTAAAACCTATAGTCTCGAGTTCTTTCGCAATCGTTGTGGCCGTGATCGAGTTCGGCATCGTGATGTATCGTTCGTCTTTTTTCTTGGTTTTTGTTGTTGAGGATCGTTTTCAGTTGTTTGTTGTTGAGGATCGATCACGGCCACAACGATTGCGAAAGAACTCGAGACTATAGGTTTTAAAGTGTCCTTTACTTCGGGTAAAAAGGTGGGTGACATGCTATCAAGAAATAGAGAAAGTAACAAAAAGGATAATGGCAACAGCGTTGTATATCAGGTTCCATGCGGGTCTTGCAATAAGAAATACATCGGGGAGACGGGAAGGGGTATTGGAACGAGATTAAAAGAGCACAGACGTGACCTACGAAATAACATGCAACACAGTGCGTTTGTTCTACATGCTCAGAACTCAAACCATCTCCCATACTGGGACGGGGCAAAGGTACTCACGTCATGTAGTAATCGCGACAACAGAAAAGCTACTGAAGCGGCGTTTATTGCTACGAGTGATACCATTAATGTCAGGGTTGGTTTCATGAAGTGGGCAAAAGCAGCGGCGTTGTTTGGCATTTTAAACATCCACATATGAATTGTGCAACACCTGTGTAAACTGTACAATGTGGCTATTCTCTTAGGATTCTTTTAGGATATTTTCTCTTTGTCAAAGGAAATGTAACCACATTGTCACATGCTTGTTTAAAAAAGTGTATGTAAAAATCAAAACGATTGAACTGTGATATTTGCTCGATGTGTGCCTCTTGTTCTCCTTTTAGACGCTGATGACGGTGATTTAGCCGAAACGCGTTCGTCTATCATTTTTGTTCCGTGTTATTATACGCATCGTATGAACTATAATGTGACCTTGAAAGGCCAACTTGAAAATTTGACCTCAGGTTAAGGTCACGACCTGACCGGAAAGGGTAATGTTGCATATCAGTCGATCCGTATCGTCGAGCTGAACACATCCAAGGCGTTTTCATTGCTCTAGCATGACTCTATCAAAAGTTATTCGCGAAAAACTGTTAGATACCATTCTTAACCTGAGATGACCTCAGGGGCATAACCAGGGGTCACGGATACCATTTGCATGTTCCTTGTGTCTTAGTTACTTGTAATTCAGTGTTTCGGAGTGTTTGTAATGGCTTTCGTCCAAAAGAGGCGCGGCGCCTTTCAATTTTCTCCCATTGACCCTACCTATACCTAATGGGGAAGTCGCAAAATTGACCTGACCTTAGGCATCGATATCAAAATTCTGAGATAAATATTTTGTACATACTATTGCTCTTAGCAATCGCTGAAAGTATCAAAGCTATCGGCCACTCGGTGTAGCTAGGGCAGACTTTGAAACTTTTTGTGAGGTGAGGTCACTTCAAGTAACCTGGTGATCTGACCTTGAATGACCTTGGTCTGAAATTTTCACAACATGTGTAGAATTGATGTATGATCAGGTGTGCCAAATTGCTTCGTGACTCGCGTGTCCGACAAGGTCCTGGAGTTCATTTTTTGGGCCCAGAGGTGAAGTCCCCAATAATTTTACTGTTTTACGTTTTTTTCTCTCAAATATATCTGATTACGTTATTCGACATTTTGCGAAATGAAGTGGCTTATATCCGAAGAGAAAATTTAAAGGGACCCTCCCGGCTCCCACCTTCAAAAAAGTTAATGAATTGGCATGAAAGTGATGTCGCTCGGTCCAGAAAGAGCAAAAACGAATATCTACCAAATTTCATCGAAAAATATTCACCGGTTTTCAAGATATTAGACTTTTACTTTTGTTTACTTTTTGAGATCTCCGCTGTTCCTAGCGACTTTATTTGAAAGTGCGGCATTTGTTGCGCGCAAAGCAGCATATACCACCGCATGCTACAAAACGTTTTAGTCAAACATTTAACGGACGTTCGAAAGCCTGATGACGTCATCAGATTCCCGTAATGGTTAAGAGATAGGGACCACGCTGGTCCCACCCTGCAAGTTAAGGGAAGAAATTTCTTGAACACCATAAAGCTGCGGGAGTTGCGACCAGGATAAATGGTGATTTCTGAGCCTGGCCGCAAACTTGGCTATCTCAACTCAAAACTAATGTTAAGGTGGGAGGGTCCCTTTAATTTAGGGTACCTTTGTTTTATCCCCGGAATCGGTCTCCACCACAGCCATGACCCTTGCCCCCACAACTTCAAACTCGTTCTCGCGTCCCTGGCCACAACAGTACAGCCACTTTCCAATTTCACATTTATCGGCTCATGACAAGGCACAACCGAATAACGTGGTTCAGGTGCTCGACTTAGCTATAGGTTGTGACGTACTCGTCTGGATAGCTTTGAAACAACGCATTTCCGCAATGAATCATGCTGGCCGTTCGCGTTAGATACGTGGAGTGGTCTGCAGTATGTACAAAACTACGCTACGTAGAAGTAAGAAGCTCACGCTAAAGATAAGCGAATATTATCCTGAGCATTTCCTTTCCTGGAACTTATTTGATGCTGAACCGAGTTTCGAGCCACTTTGGTAGTGTTAACATTTACATAATTTGAATGTGCGGTAATGCCCTGGGTTTTTGTCGCTATTTCGCCTAAATAAGTAAAGAACAGTTCGATCTGGATGTCGATTATTCAATATTCATTACTGTTAAAAACTGTTATGAGCTGATGCGTTTCAATACGCCTTACCATTTAGGTACCGTCCTCTATCGCTTTACGCCATCCGTGCATAGCAGAGGGCATCATTATTCATTTGCCCTATCATACTAAGGTTTAGTACAAACGAGTGCTTGGCCGATAACCATTCACATTTACCCGAATAACTGACGATCGAATGGATAAAACGTCTTTCCTTTTCCGGCAGGCATCCGACCCGACTGCGGTAAAGCTCGAGTCACACGGCGCTGACTCTGGACAGGTGCTGCCATCTGGCCCCACTTCCGGCGACCACTACGAGGTGGCGCTGGGAAAGGCCACCGTTATCCCCGACCCTCCACGAGCCAGCCTTCTGGAAGGACCCATGCCGGCAATGAAGTACGTTTAAGGCAGACAGCTTCTTTGTAACGTTATCAGTTATCACCTGTTATTACAATATTCCAGTTGGCAACATGAGGTAGCATCTGTGCGTTTCGAAGTTTGCTCGACCTGTCGTGAATGATGAAATCATACGAAAGAAGCACCTATAAGCAATAAGTAAACGCCTAAGAACGCTGCGTCTAATCTGGCACCGCTACCCACTTTTCACTCATTGAATAAAACGTGTGCAAGCCAACTTAATCATACTACCTCTGTTGATTGGTGAAGCATTAAAAGTGAACTACGAATGTAGGTACAACACCCATAAACCTATGTAAATAAATGTCACGGTATCTTCTATGTCCTCAGGTTTAGCTGCAATGGTGCGTTTGGCTATTTCGTGGAGCCGTCCTTCGCCTGCAAGGCGTTTCACTACTGCGACAGAAAGGGAGAGCGTTACACATTCCTCTGTGACGAGGGAACCACTTTCAATCAGGTGAGATGACGTCTGGGAAGCTAATCGGTAGATATGACTATTGACATTATATCGATGCACTCGAGGCGCATTGTATATTGTATACCGCATGTCTCGTTTTTTAAACCTGAATCTCTATATCTTCGCAGCTGTGTCATCACATCATGTGACAAATACAAGAGAAAATAAAATTGCAACAGTGGACAGCCACCACCGATATATTTATTTATCAAATGAACCCGTTTGGTTAGTTTGGTCACTACAACACACCCCAATCTTCTGACCTACGAGTGCGTCATGTGTGGGAGAATGGAAAAATTAATCCTAATCGACTTGTTCCAGTCTTTCTAATTGCCCGTTCCTCCGTTTCAGGTTCTGAACCAGTGCGAGCCCGGGCAGGCTCCAGGCTGCGGTGGAGCCAGCTCACCGGAGCCGGAGTCTCGCCCGGAGCTCACCTCGGAGTCTCGCCCGGAGCTCACCTCCGAGTCTCGCCCAGAGCTCAGCTCGGAGTCTCGCCCAGAGCTCACCTCGGAGTCTCGCCCAGGGCTCACCTCGGAGTCTCGCCGGCGGGGACAACCGGAGCGTCCGCACAGTCTGCCGGACTCAGTCGAGAAGAGGGCCGTCGCGGCAACGCCGATCAACCCGGACGGCGACATTCTGATCGGCTCTGAGTCGGTACAGAGTGAGCGGCTGCGCCGGCCGGCGCGTCCCCGCGGCCAGGGTGACCGGGTGGGGGCACAGGACGAGCCGGACGCTCCGCAGCCCCGCGTGGTCACCATCAGTCCGAGGGTTCCCGTCTCGGATAGTATCCGGTCCACCACGGGCAGACCGCTGCAGCTGACAGACGGCGGAGCAGAAGTTCCCGGCCAGTTCCCCAGTGGACCGGCGAACTCGGCGCCATTCGTCAACCAAGCCGGGAACCAGAATCCATTCCGGGGTAGCGCACCCAACGGCGCACCGTTCTTTAACGGTCCGCTCCAACAGCAACCGGGCCTTGGTGGCAACTTCGCTGGACAGAATCCTGGTCCAGTGGGACAGCCTGGTGGTTTTAATGGACGTGCTACAGGTGTCAGTGCTCCAGGTGCCAACATCGGTAGCCCTAGCTTTGCCTTTGGCGGTCAAAATCCCGGCTTCGCTCCCGGCTTTGGTGGAATAGACCCGGCATTTGCGGGGCCAACTGGAGGTTTCAATGGTCCAAACGTCGGATTTACCAGTCCATCGCCTGCCTTCGCCCGATCAGACTCCCCATTCGTTCAGCAAGATCCCCGCTTCCAAGATCCTAGATTCATCCAGCAAGACCCCCGTTTTGCTCAACAAGACCCTCGTTTCGTCCAGCAGGATCCCCGTTTTGCTCAGCAAGACCCCCGTTTCATCCAGCAAGATCCACGATTCGTTCAGCAGGATCCACGTTTCGGCGGTCAGCCAGACCCTCGTTTCGCTGGCCAGGGCCCCGCCTTTGCTGGTCAAGACCCACGCTTCGTCGCGCCTGGAGCCGCCTTTAATGCTCCGCCTCCAGACTTCAGCAGCGGGGTACCGTTTGCCTTCAGGGAGTTTGGTGGAGTTCCAGCCAATCAAGGTCTGCCTCCTGCCACTCCGACAGACGTGAAGGATGGCACTGGACCGACTGAAGATAAAACTCAGGGGGATGCTGGTGCGATCGGAAACTCAGCAGCCAAAAGCAGAGGACAGGAGGAGGCGACGAAGCAGGCCAGCCAGAAAGTGGGACGCTTGAGTGGTGAAGGAGGTCAACGATCTCGACTACGAGGAGACGGCACTCCAGCTGGTTTTTCACCCGTTGTTGCAGAGGAGGACATCTTTCAGTCTGCCCCTGGACCTGACAGCCATCAGATTGGCTTCCAACAGAATGGATTTTCGAGACCTGACGGTGCTTTTCCATCTGGGGGCCAAGCTGCTAGACAGGGAGTGAACGATTTTCAACAGGTATCTCAGCGTCAGAATCCATTTACTTTACGCGACAATAACCCCGGATTTATTCCGAGCGACACCAGATTTATTCAGGGAAATCTGGAGATCTTATTCCCGCAACAGTTTCGTGATGATCCTAACGGATTTAGGCCCATCAACCCAGAGGTGTTTCGAGCGGGTCAGGATGGATTCTTAACGAATCAGAAACGTTTTGCCCCAGCGCAAGAAATTTCGCCAAGTAGCCCGGGATTCGTTCCGGGCCAAACAGGCTTTTCACAACAGGATAGGTTTTCGCAAGACCAAAATAACTTCCAATCGCTAAATGGCGACATTTCTGGAGGATCAAATGACTTTACCCAGCGACAGACGCCGTTTGCTCCAGACCGAAGAGGAGTTCCATTGAATGACAATGTTCAAAGGAAACCAGATCAGTTTTTACATAACAGACAAAAGCCGTTGGCATTTGACGAGCCATTGAGGACAAGGGAAGGTCAAGACTCGTCAAATAATGGAAGAGATAACATTAACTCTGAAGAATCCCTACATGATCGAGGACCAGTCCAGCCCGCTGATCTCAATGATCCCAACCAGGAGTCAATTAACCTTGACAGCAAACGGAAACCAAGAGGTCGCATAAATCGTGGCAAATTTCCTCTCACACGCGATCAGTTTTTCAAAGCTAAGGAAGAATCCAGACTTGCTGATGAAAGGGTCATTGAGAAAAGAAATGAGAATGGGGAAATTCTAGAAAATGCGTTACAGGGTAGTAAATCTGGGTCAGATTTGCCTGGCGATGAGCTGAACACTGAGCAGACAAGACTTAGACCCACTCATTCTGGTTCTTTGCCCGAGTCAGCAAGGGGCGGATTCAACAGAGCTGTGCTTGCTTTTGATCAGGATGGGTTCCAACGAAGTCCAGATGAACGAAATTTTGAAAGAAATATAAACAGATTTCCATCAGAACACCGGAGCTCTTCTGCCAGGTTCCCTGGAGGATTCCGGCCAGCCCAGGACAGGTTTTCGCCGCCAAGCCCAGGGTTCCCACAAGATCGTGATAGATTTGAACAGGATCGGAGAAGGTTCCCAGAGGATCAGCAGATATTCCAAGGAAATCGGGGAAGGTTCCGAGGAGATCGGGGACGTTTTACTCCGGAAGGCGGGATATTTGCTCAAGATCAAGTCGGATTCCCACAGGAGCAGGGGAGATTTTCGTCGGGTCAAGGAAATTTTGAACCTGATGAAGGCAGATTCCCATTGAATCAGAATGGCTTCAATCCAAACCAAAACCAATTCATTCGGGACCAAAATAGGTTCTCATCAAACCCCAGCCAATTTACATCGGAACAGGGCAACGTATCGCCGACTCAAAACGGTTTTCCTAACGGTCAAGACAAATTCACTCAAGTTCCCGCAGACCAAAACAGAATTCCAACAAGACAAAGCGAATTTCAGTCGGACCGAAATAGTTTTACTACCAACTCAAATCAGTTTAGGGTCAACCAAGGTAGTGCTCAACAGGAGCAGGACCAATTTTTTGGCCCCAACTTCTCCCAAAACACACCCGGGTTTCCTATTCAAACTTCATCAAATCAGGACCGATTTGGACAAGACCTGAACACCTTCAACTCAAACGATAATAGACTGCAACAGAATCAAGATGGATTTCCACGCATCCCAAATCAGTTCCCGCAAAACAACATTGACTTTGCGCAGGGCGTAAATGGTCTCAGCCAGAATAACGACGGTGTTAGAGGTTTTGGTGCATCTCGTCTGCCTCAAAATCCTAATTTCTTTAATCAAAATGACTTCGATTCCAACCAGTTCCAGCCACAGCGGGGCCCAGCGCCGGGACAATTCCCTTCACGATTCCCATCTGTCCCTGACAGAGATGCGTTTGCTCCGCCGAAGCAAGGAGGTACACGTGGAAACCACATTGTAGAAGATAATGATTTCTTTGATGTGACAACTGCTCCTCCACCTCGCATAATCGCCCCCCTACCAAAGGACATGATTGAACATATGGACAAGAGTGACGCCGGAATCACTCAGGAGCAGTCAACGCCAGGCATTCCTCAAGGAAGTACTCCCTCGGGACCAGGCAGGGGTCTGGGTCGGCGTCGCAAGCCGCCTCGGCGCCGCCCACCCCCTCGGGGTCACGTCAGCGCTATCGCTGGACAGAGCGGAGACTCACAGAGTCCTATTGAACATCCGACCACGCACCCGACGAGTAACGAACACGAAACCGTCACTATTAATCCATCCGGGGGTCGGACAGGCTCTATAGTGCGTCATCGCCAGATCGCTGTTCGTCGACGACAACCGAACGGGCGGCGGCGACTGGGACGGCGACGAAGCACCACACCTGCGCCAGAAGTCACCACGGAGGCTGTGGACGTCACTGAGCCTTCCGTAGACATCACTGGCCCCTCGGGAGAGACGGTCCCATCAGCGACCACCGTCGCCACGACACCAGGTGCTGGAAGACGTAGGAGGATTGGTGTTCGTCGCAGGTTGCCTGGAGGCTTTCGGTCACGCGCCCGCACTCGTCTGAGGAGGCCGGCACTGACGGACACGTCAACAGGGACCTCGGGACAAGGGGTGGACGAGCACCAGTCCGATGCTCTCGCTGATTCAACGCTAGAACGCCCTCAATTTTTGGACTCGGATGTCTCTTCTCTGTCTGGTGATGGCCTCCTGCGAGAACCAAGCAACCTTGACTCGACCACGGTGAAACCTGATTTTGTGCGAAGGCGTCGTCCCGGCGTGGCGGCTCGACGAAGGCGGCTACGAGGACGGCAAAATACAGCTAGGACTGCGACATCAGTTTCTTCGTCTTCTTCTCCAGACGCTTCAGTGACATTGCCTTCAGCTGCGTCGGCTGCTGGAACAGGCCGCCGTCGGTATCGCGAAGGAGACGGCGAAGGTAGTCGGCGAACGGTAGCTGATGCGGACCAAGACAGCTCTAACGATAACACCTGGCTGGATGGCACAACCGCGCCTGGCTCGGTTCAACAGCAGGATCCCCATCCCGGCTCCCGCCGTCCTCCCCGGAGAAGGTTCCGGCCAGGTAGACGTCGAGTGAACGACTTTGAAGGGTCAAACGAGAAGCCCACAGGCGCAAATGCAAATGGACAGCGTTCCTCAAACATTGGGATTGGAGAAGTAACTGGTTTTGATCGATTCCAAGGAAGTGCACCGAGTGGATTTGATTTCAGCAGTGGCGCTGGTTCCCAGAATTTCGCTGGTGGAGATTTTGAACGCAATAACTTCGGGCAGCATCGTTTCTCGGATCCCACATTGGTGCAGAATGACTTTCTAGATTCCGCCGCTTCTGGTCCTTCTGATTCGCTGACGCGTCCTGGCAGGCGTCAGCGGTTCCGACCCAACGCTCAACAGCATGTTCCTTTCTCTGGTCCTGCTCGAGGTCGTGACGTGTTTCACCAGCCCGGCACCTTCTCCACCTCGCCTTCCGCTGCTGCCCTCGCCTCCACCGCCGAGCCTGTGACGGCACCCACCCGAAGGTTCCGTTTCACATCCCAAGACCCAGCTACTCTGCCTTCAACTGAGCCGACGACAAGTGAAGCACCTCATGAAGAAGTCGTCACTGGCCGAAGTATCGGCAGGGGTCCTGTGACAATTGTTTCCACGGGTAACAGCATTCAGACAACGAGCCCCGCGCTCGAGGACACCGCCGTCGCCGCCGAAGGAGTTCGCTTCAGCTGGTCCGAGCCCACCTCTGCGGCCGAGACGACCACCCGTCGCTCTCAACGACCCTCCCTTCCAGAGGTAGCGGACCTGCCTCCTGATCTGGTAGACCGTAGGCATCCACATTCAAGATCTTCAACCTCACTCAGTGATATGCTAAACGGTCGTCGTCGGCACTCAGATACTAGCAACGAAACTGGCAGAAACCATCGCACAAACCTCAGACATCGGATACAGCATGCACGAACCACAGAACCCACACGCGCCACTCCACATCCAGTGCCTCCTCCAACGGAAGCAACGCCTCCAACGACCTCGACAATAGCAACCACGAGCGCCACGCCGCAGGACAGCAGCGCAACTGGCAAGGGAGACTGGCGTGCAAAGCCCTGGACGACCAGTTTCGCGAAGGCGGCGGCTAAAGGCTCCGTCTCGACTTCAGAAGAAGATGTCTCGTTGGACTCCATCACCGAAATGGTCGTGGCAACAACTACTCAACGGCCAATCCCTGTCACTCTAAGTGAGGAAGAACCGCGCCTGCCTCTCCAAGATCTTTTTGAAAATATTTAGGATGTCCAAAATTCCAACAGCTTCTGGGTTACAGGAGTACTAATCGGTAGTATTTTATAAACTTTGTTGAAGGTTATCGTAACTTTCCCAAGCGTCACATGATTTGTGGTGTACGTTGTTCGGGATGTGGAGTAAAGCGATGACGTTGAGCGTATGTGAGGCAATGTTGTCCACTGTTGTCCTAATGTTTCACGCCCCTGGAACAGTGACGCTGCGATGTCCTTGTCATCACATGTAAGGTCATTTTTCTGAAGTGGCACAGAACGCACGCGGCACGACGTAGCCTGGATTGAACGTGCGTGTGAAATGTGCCGGTGTGCAATGTGCATTTTACCTTAGAAAACGAGAACGTGGTTGACGACGTCGGCGAGCCTATGTGCCTATGATCCATCCTATACAATGCTAGTATAAACGACGATATCTGAGCCTTTTCTTTCTCTCAAGAATGAGACTGCATCAAGCATTATACATTCCAACTTTTAGAAAAGATATGTAGGTTTATCACTGTTTATTGTCTTAGCATTACGTCTCTGATAGGTACTCGTTAAGGAGCCTTTTAGCCAACAAGCCGACTCCCGTCTCAGACATTGCTGTTACGAATATCTATTGGTACTGGATTGAACGGGATCGTAGGTTAACGAATGATCAAATCATGCATAACTTATGACTGATGTATGAACCTGATGTAGAACAATTTCGTGCTTGATACACTTCATGAGAAACTAATAAATATTGAACTTTCTCTCTGTTATTCTCTGAAACAAGATGTTCGTGCCAGAGCACTAAGCCCAAATCGTCCGATGGCTCGTCTCATACCTAGTATGCGAGCGTTCTTTTTCACGGTTGGGATGGTCTGGTGGACGGATGGATGGGATGCCGAAGGTATAGAAAAGGTACAAACGCCATAGGCGGCGGAACGGGGAGGGCACCGGGGCACCGTGCCCCCTTTTGATTTTGGCATTTTAACATTAGCCTTATGGGCGTTGCATGGAAAGAATGGGACCAAAAGTCGGCAACTGCCCCCCCCCTTAATTAAAGGTGTTCCGCCGCTAATGACAAACGCCAACGCAAACATGAAACAAATGTCGTTAAAGGTAGTGTGCCAGCTTTCTTGGACCGTATGGAGTTAATGGCCCAGATAAGGAGAACCGGATTTTTAGAACTTATCCATACCTTCAAAACTCATGGAAACGTCTTAAATTCTTCAAATTTTGAGTACCCCAGTGCGAAATTCGCCCCGACGGGTTGTCGGTCGTACCCCAACCACATTTCACACCACTATGAACAATAAATGCACGTCTGAAATCGCTATTACCGATATGCTCATCCAATCAAGTTTCGATAAACCCGTTCATCATCATCTCCTGCGGTTTCGAACACGCCTGTTAGGTGGCTTCTGATGCTCGTCGAGGTCGGAATTTCCAAATACGCGTGTGCGTCGGGCCGCGCGCTCTGACTTCGGCCAAGAAAAATGCGTCAGCTGATCATTGTCATTTCTGCCACTTGCGTGTGGTGAAATGGGGTCATAACTTATAAGACGGCTTTTTCATATCAATTATTTTACATAAAATCATATTTCAAACCATAAATAATGTTCGACAGCCAAATAAAAGAAACAATACCAATACGGGCTTACAGTTAAAGGCTCGACATTGTGTTGTCTACGATTAGACAGCTGATAACTCATTCCCGTACGTCGTATGGTCGTAACACTATAATGACCTTTGCTTATTGTCACAAGTGCGCCGCATTCGCGATTGTTGCCCGACGCCTGTTTGCAGGTGAGCCCACTACAGTTGTTATACATATCTAAAAACCGAAAAACTTTTAGGCGAAAAAGGCACTATTCCAGGCCCATTTTTGATTTTTTTGCGATATTAGGTAAAAACAGAAGCTTCTTATCCTAGGAAAAATAAAATGGGAAATCTTTCAAAGGTGGCACACTACCTTTAAAGAAAAAACAGCACACTCACCGTACCTAACTAGGTAGATTTGTCTCTTGGTACGGGGACCTGCAGTTGCTACTGTACAGCGACCCTGAGTAAATTGTCCCAGCACCCTCACAGGGAACAACAATAAGCTATCGGAAGGCACGCACAGAAAACCTCAGCTGCTCTTGTACAGGGACCGGCAGTCGATATCAATGTTATCGGTTGCTGCTGAACAGGACAGACGGCTAGAGTTGGGGTTCGTGTACAGTAGCAACTGCGGGTCCCCGTACCTAAATTATAATTAAACGTTGAGTTACAAAAATAGGCACACTATAAATCAAGTTAGGCATTTACGGTTTCATTATGCAGCTTTGAAGTTCCTGCCTTCAGTAATCAGTACCTACATCAGATTGTTGGGGACGTGAAATCCTTTTGTTAATATGGAATAAGTCTGTAATCACTTAGCGTGCATTGTACAGACTAGTGGCCACCGTCGATCATCGCCCTTCAGCCTCCACGCACATACCCCTCGAAAGCGAGCCTGCTCTCGCCGTTATGAGGATAAATAAATAAAGTCGCTTCCAGTCACCTCCACTACCCAACCATCAACCAATCATTAGTCTCCTCTCCCTCAACTCCCTTACGCCTATCGAACACGTTCAGCGTATGCCATCAGAAGCAGGCAATAAAAGCAGCCTCGCCTGCGGTTACAAGCTGGTAAAAATCCCCGGCCGTTTCCCGGCGGCCAGCGCTCGCCGCGGTACGTGGCTGCGGCGCTGTTCCACTCTCGGGCGGGCCGGCCCCGGCTGAGTCACTCCCACAGATGACGTCATCTGTGATTGTGTTTTATGTCGCGCAGCATAACCACCGCCGGCGATGGGCTGAGGCGGCAACCCGAGTTCAAAGAACTGTGAGCAACCTGAGCCCCAGGGGTGTCGCATGTTTGTGGTGAGTTAAGCCGTGGCCGGGCGGAGGTCGAGGTGTACGATGTTGTAGATTTATGATAGGCTAAACGGACTTCCCGAGTCCAGCTTTGGGCTCTCTCACATGGTATAACAAATACGATAAAGAAAAATGTAGGACAGCTTTCAGTATTGCCCAGATGACATATGTATATTGTAGGTATATCAGCAGTACCTACACAAAATCAAAACAGTGTGCGTTGTCGTCTGGATGTGCTGACTGTACAACTAAATCATAGAAGAAGCAACACAGTTTCGTTTCATCAAACATATTCAAAATGGCGACTATTCCCAACCAGACTTTCTGTCATCGTCCACTCAATTCAGCCTGAGCTCCCCGCGGTCGCATGACTCCCTCCTGCCCGTTCGGAGCGGGGCCTAGTCACGGCGCCACTTGTTCGCCCTGGGGACGTAGCCCTCGGGCACGGCGGCGCACTCCGCCTCGATGTCGTCTGGCACCACGTCTGCGGTGAGCTGGACGAAGGTGTCCCACGGGCAGCTGAGCTGGCAGCCGGGCAGCTGCAGCGGGTACGGCTCCGCGGTGGTGTCGTTCCGGTAGAACAGCTGCACGGTGGCACCGACCTCGGGCTCCGCGTGCAGCTCCACCAGCACGGCACTGGCCAGCGGAGGCATCACGCCGTTGTATACCTGCGGTAGTGAGAGACGATGTGAGTCCGTCCTTCAGGGGAGTGGGTGACATGTTTAAACATTTAAAGCACTTATACGGGCAAAAAGTATGCTGGCGCTAGTAAAAAAAGATACTGGTTCATTCAGTAATCCATGCTTGGCAGTTATGGTCCGTAGGCATACTATAAGACCTGAACAAGCATCAATTAGGTCATCAAGGAAGGTTGTCGAAACATCACCTCAGCAACCCTACATTCCAGTTATCGACTCACCATCAGAGTGGTCAGCAGGCAGCCGACGTTGGTGTCGTGTCCCGAGTAGGCGAACAGCTTCCTGTTGGGCGGGCTCAGGTAGCCGTAAACGCTGGCCTTCATGTTCTTCAGTATGTCCTTGAGCAGAGTGCCGCCACCAAGCCGACGCTGCAGTGGCGTGGCACCCAGCAGGGCAAAGTCGAGGTTTCCCAGGGGCTCCATCAGATCGGGGAACGCCGGCGCGTCATAGCCAGGCGGCACGGCAAGCGCCCACTCGGGCGTCGTCAAGTTGTGGGTCGACTCGATCCGGAGTGTGTCGTAGAGGTACTGCACGTGCGTAACGTCGGCCACCAGGTCGCCACTGTTCTCGGTCAGGTACTGGTACAGGCCGGCGTACTCGGCGTTGACCGCTTCAACCTGAGGCGAGCTGTACACGCGGTCGTGCTCCGCGTTGTAGGC